GGAGGGCGAGCACGTGCACACTTAGCAAAATAAGGACGGGGTTGTCTTACGGATGAACACCGTTGGGCCCTACCATAATTGCCAAGACCATTTAAGTACTCATCACTTCCATTCTGTGTGCGGTCAAAAAAAAAAGTATCAGTCATTACCGTGAAACTCTGGGACAAGCACTTTAAGGATCTGGATTGGAATTTAGTGGTCTGCATGTAAGATTTAAGAATGATGTTATGCCAGCTACTTACTGTGAAACTGACTTAGATAAAGAAAAGAGAGATGCATTTGTGTATACTATCAAAAATCACTACTGGAGCCGGGCGTGGGGGCGCATGCCTGTAATCCCAGCACTCAGGAGGCTGAGGCAGGAGGATCGTTATGAGTTTGAAACCAGCCTGGGCTACAAAGTGAGCTCAAGGCCAGCCTGAACTGCATAGCAAGACCCTGTCTCAAAAAAGACAAAAAAATAATAATAATAATAATAACTACTGGTACCAGATGTATATAGATGCCTTACCTTTATGGGGTATTGTTGGTAAAACAGATGAAAATGGAGATTACTATCTTTGGACCTATAAGAAACTTGAAATAGGTTTTAATGGAAATCAAATTGTTGATGTTAATCTAACAAGTGAAGGAAAGGTGAAGCTGGTTCTGAATACTAAAATACAGATGTTGTATTCAGTAAAGTGGAAAAAGTCAGATGTAAAATTTCAAAATCTATTTGACAAATATCTTGATCCATCCTTTTTTCAACATAGGATTCATTGGTTTTCAATTTTCAACTCCTTCATGATGGTAATCTTCTTGGTGGGCTCAGTTTCAATGATTTTAATGAGAACCTTAAGAAAACATTATGCCTGGTACAGTAAAGAAGAAGAAATGGATGATATGGATAGAGACCTAGGAGATGAACAGGGATGGAAGCAGGTGCGTGGAGATGTATTTAGACCACCAAGTCACCCACTGATATTTTCCTCTCTCATTGGCTCTGATGTCAGATATTTGCTATGTCTCTCATTGTTATTATTGCTGCAATGACAGAAGATTTATGTACAAAAGAGGGTCAGTGCTCAATACAGCCATATTTGTCTATGCTGCTACATCTCCAGGGAATGGTTAGTTTGGAGGAAGTGTGTGTGCTAGACAAGGAGGAAAGCAATGGATAAAGCAGATGTTTACTGGGGCATTTCATATTCCAGCTATGGTGTGTGGTACTGCCTTCATCAATTTTATAGCCATTTTACCACCATGCTTCAAGAACCATTCTTTTTGGAACAATGGTGCCTCTTTGTTGCATTTGCTTTTTTGATATTCTTCCTCTAAATCTCGTTGGTACAACACTTGGCCAAAATCTGTCATGTCAGCCCAACTTCCCTCGACGGGTCAGTGCTGTGCCTCATCCTATACCGGAGAAAAAGGGGTTTTTAGAGCCTGTGGTTACTGTCTGCCTGGGAGGAATTTTACCTTTTGGCTCAAGCTTTATTGGAATGTATTTCTTCTTCACATCTTTCTGGGCATATAAGATCTATTATGTTTATGGCTTCATGATGTTGGTGCTGGCCATCCTGGGCGTTGTGACTGTCTGTGTGACTGTCATGTGCACGTACTTCCTGCTAAATGCGGAGGGTTATAGGCAGCAGTGGACAAGTCTTCTGTCAGCTGCGTCAACTCAATCTACGTTTACATGTATTCCTTTTACTACTATTTTTTCAAATCGAAGATGCATGGTTTTTTCAAACATCAGTTTACCTTGGATACATGGTGGTAATTAGCACAGCCTTGGGGATAATGTGTGCAGCACCTGGCTACATGGGAACAAGTGCCTTTGTCTGAAAAATCTACACTAATGTGAAAAGTGACTGAGACCCAAGAAAACCTGGAACCTCTGAATTCCTGGAACTTCGCCGTTTCTCTTTCCAAGGGGTGGAACTTGCATAACACAGAAGCACAAGAAGAGATTTTGGGCTTAACACTGGGTACTCTGTGGGTGTCCCTTTCACGGATGGCTTAAAGTAACATCTATTTCCATTGATCCCAGGTTCTTCCTGCCTGCCCTCTCCAACTGTTCACAGCACATGCTCGGATTCATGCAGGAGGCACTACTGCAGTGCATGGCTAACCTGCCCAAAACCTAGCTCATTACAGATGAAAGAGATCAGCTCTCTTCAGTGAAGAGGACAAACTGTTTATTTAAAGCATTTGTCCCAACAAAATAAATAGCGGGAAACTTGGATGCTGAAGTTGTACATGAATAGACATCTTCCTGGCACTCCGTGCTTCTATGCTACTGAAAAATGATGTTCCAGAAAGTTGACTTTTTTCCTCTTATTTTTACTGCCATTGTTGACCTATTGTGGGACATTTTCATATATTGAATCTGGGTTCTTTTTGACTGATTTTGGGTTTTTTTTTTTCCAACTCAACTGCATCCTTTTTTTTAGAGAAAATTTTACATTCTGCATGTAATATATCTACTGTCATATTAGTTGGACCAACTTCCTATTTATCTTATAATGATCCAGTTATGTCTTAGTTCCACCCAAATAAGATACAATCTGAAGATAGAGGCATATTCTCTACAATGCAATTTACTGTACAGTTAGCAAAAAATGGAGAAGATATTTGCTTTTATTAAACATTCTGAGATTTACATAAACTACATTTTAACTGAAAAAAACGAAGAAAGAAATCAACCAATAACAAATTCTGGCAGGGCTGTGGGGAAAAAGGAACCCTTGTCCACTGTTGGTGGGGATGTAGACTGGTACAACCACTGTGGAAATCAGTGTGGAGATTCCGCAAAAAACTAAGATTGGAGGTCCCTTTTGACCCAGCTATTTACCTTCCCAGAAGAATTAAAAATATTATAGCACAGCAATATATGTGCACCCATGTTTATAGCAGCACAACTTGTAATAGCTAGATCTTGGAAACACCCTCACCCATCAACCAAGGAATGGATAAAAAAAAATGTGGTTTTTTTCTACAATGGAGTACTACTCAGTAGTACTCAGTACTACTACAATGGAGTATTACTCAGCAATAAGAAGGATAAACTGGAGACTTATAGGTAAATGGATGCAACTTGGGACCATACTCATAAGCAAAATAAACCAAACACATGTGTAAACATCGTATTGAGAAGCTGAAAGAGTAAATAAGATCCAAAATATACAATAGATATTGTAAAAGGGGAAGAAACTGTTCAAAAGGAAAGAGAAACTGGGATGGGGGAAAGGAAAAAAAAGGAAGGGAAAAATTAAACAAAAAAAATATATAAAAGATAGCTAAAATAGTTATACTACTAATTTCTCTTAGTTCATTGAAAAGAAAGGTTTGTGCTAATATTTGGACAATTACTGCTACTCTGAGTAACGAATTTTAAGATAACAATATGCAGTGTATTAACCACTGTTACCCTCCTATTATCTTGTTTTGAAATTTTGGAGTTTTTTCTTTAACACAAAGAAAAAATGAGTTGGAGAGAATACATCTACTTTCCTAGAAGAACTGCTCTGCACACATTCTTTCTAGAATGTGTGGAACACTTCACCCATGGATGCTGGACTTAGATTTCCTTCTATGAGGTTTTTGACATCAAGGTTCCCTTTCTTTAAAAAGTTATAAGACTGAGTTCTCCTTTTCCTTTTGTGTAAGCTTTAGTGCAGTCTTCCACTAACTGCCAGCCTGTCAAAGCTTTTCAAATTTGTTGCATAAAATCACATCATATTGCCAGACATGGTGGTGCACACCTATAATCCCAGCTCTTGGGAGGCTGAGGCAGGAAGATCATTGCAATTTCCAGAACAGCCTGGGCTACAAAGTGAGGTCAAGGCCAGCCTGAACTGCATAGTAAGACATGGTTTCAAAAAGACAAAAAAAAAAATTACATCACACTGAACTCAAATAACTTGTCAGAAAGACACATGGTGTTTGGTACACACAGTAACAAACCACTCCACAGGAATGTGATACCGAATGGTTCTGTGGGCACCTCACGGAGACCTACAGCCATCCTCTCAGTGGACCACAGATCCACTGTGGATGGAACCCAGGGCCTGGGGGAGAAGGGAAACCTCAGGGAGAGTGTGGAGGGTCTGTTTAAAGAGCCCAACCCTCTCAACAGAGAGAGCTCTGTTGTCTCACAGACCTCTCGGTGCCCCACAGGCCACACAGACACAAGGGGCCCGCAGGGAAATGCCAAGAGCCAGCCCCCACTGTCCCTCTCAGAGCTGCCTCACAGTGACCTGTCTTTAAAAGAATCTGCACATGAGCTTCATTTTCCTCCCATTTCTAAATTTATGACTCTAACTCAAAGGGTATAGTGACGCAGAATGATCTCATCAAAGTCAAGAAAAAGCAAGATCTGCTCACAAAGAGAATCCCAGACCCCAGCTTCTCTACAGTCCTCTGCTCTTGAATATTTGGTGTGGCCATCGCCCCTAAATTCACACCAAGATCTTGCCACATGGAGATGCAGACAGATCTTCAAGAGCCATGAAAAAAGGGAAGAACATCCCTACACTACGCTGTGAAAATCGGAGGTAAAACCCTGATTAAGTCCAAGAACAATTGGGAGGACAAAATGTCCTCTGACAAGACTCAAAGAACCTGCAAAACCTGGCTGGAGAGAAACTTCACGGGGTGCTGGATGAGGGCAACTGGGAGCTGCAGAGCAAGAAACAAAAGGAGGGTCCCAGGGACTGAGGTGGGCACATTTGCTCTACCCTAGATCACACAGCCAGAGAGACACGGCCTTGGACACAGAGATATCATGGAGGCTCTGAGCATTGGGAAACAAAGGACCAAAATTCAGTAGGTCCACTTCAGTACGCCCCATCCTTTCATGCTTACCGTGCCCACTGGCTCCACAAGCTCAGCACCAGCACATACAGGAAGAGAGTGAGATGTGAGTATAATGACAGTACAGACACAAGTGGGTCAGCAGTGGCTTAAAGGCACACTCTCTCCATGAAAATCATGCCGTTCCCCCAAGGACTGACCTTTAACTTGCAGAAGGAAGGAGATCTTCCGGCCCCCGGCCTCGCAGCTGTACTCCCCTGCGTCCGCCTCGCCCGCCTGCTGCACCACCAGCTGCCGCCTGCAGCCCACGGCCTCCACGCGCACCCTGGAGCTCGCGCCCAGCTTCTTCCCGTCCTTGAACCACGTCACCTCCGTCTTTGCCTGGGCCACCTCACAGCTCAGCTTGGCGCTGGCCCCCGCCTCGGCCTGCACCTCACTGCGTGCCGGCTGCTCCTTGGCAAACACCGCCTTGGGCTCTGTGGACACACGGGGACACCGGGTCAGGGACACCATCCGGCCATGAGGCCAGAAGGCAGGAAGGCCAGGAGGGGCTGCTGCAGGACAGGACCTGTGGGCTCTGTCCCAGCTGTGACCCTGGAGAAGCCCAAGGCCTCCCTCGGCCTTGGAGTGTGGTGTCCTGATCCCCATAAAAGGGAGCAAGCCTGACACTGCCCTTGGCAAACCGTGTTTGCTGTTCAGTGTTCTGCAGACTCCATGGCAGTGGCTTTGCCTCATTCATTTTCAGTAGCTCTCTATACATGGCAATGCGTGTTGCCAAGGGGATATTCTCTGAGTCCATGATGACACTATGCAAACACCCTACAGAATACTTAGGCAATGTGAAATGGCTGCAACTTTGCAGCTACTCACTCGCACGCAACCATCTTTCTGCACAGTCCTGGGGGCCGGATGTTGTCAGGTGCCTCGGGACTATTTCAGAGCAACCATTTTCCAGCTTGGTATGCCCCACCACCGCCACCATTGTCTCAGTACTGAGATGAAACCCAGGGCCTTGTGCACCCCGGCAAGGCCCTTACTGAGCCACACCCTGCCAGGCTCTGCACTGACAGATGTTACCCACCTAAGTTGCACCTCCAGACTTTCCTGAGGTCACTGATGAGCAGAACTTGAGATCTAATGTGGCCGGTATGC